GTGACACCAGTGTGGGCACGGGCACAGGGCAGACCCCATACCACCCCTCCCCTCTAAACCCCGCTGAGCTGAGCCTAAATTCAGGTTTAAGGTGGGGGCAGCTCCACAAATCTCTCCCTTAGACTGGGAAAACTTGGGAATGTCCCGAGTGTGGGGACATGTCCCCAGGGAATGTGGGGAGCTCAGCCCTGGCTCTGGACACGGGGAGGGCACACTGGGTTCAACAACGGAGTGTCAGACTCGTGACCATGAGCAGCTGGGCTGGGGACAGTGCCCGGTGATGCCAAAGGTGCCCAAAAAGCGCCAGGGAAGCTCAGACCCTGCCAGGGATGGATGTGGGGGAGCAGCAGCCGCTGTCACCTCTCCCTGCTCCCCTCTCCACTGGTGGCAGCTCCCTCCCTGTTGGTGACACTGACAGGCAGGTGGCTCAGACGGGGCTGGAATTGGGGACAGCTCCAAGCTCAGCTCCGGGAGCAGCCGCCATGGAGAGGGGAAAGCAGGGCAGGGAGAGGGGTGGGAGCACCCAGCAGGGCCCTGCAGAGGGGTGGTGACCTTGGGGACACTGCTGTGTCCCAGATCCAACCCACGGCAGCACATTCCATGCCCCATCACCAAGAAAGCCACCAGAGCAGCGGGGACCCTGCCAGCATCACCAGTGCCACCGCAGTGCCACGCCAGTGCCACATTGTCCCCTGCCAGCCCCAACTGACCTTGAACGTGTGCTTCCTGCTGATGTTGTCCGAGGGCTGCACGGCGGCCACGCGGAAGCTGAGCAGGGGGATGCTGCCCAGGATGTTCTCCTCCTTCTCATCTGGGGAGGGGGCCAATCCTGGGGTTACCCCCACGGAGAGACCCCCGGCACAGCCCCCTCCCCATGCCCCGGCTCCATCCCACCTGTGGGATCGGCTCCCTGCCTGTTGCTGCTCCAGCAGCCGTGCCAGGCTCACAAACAACCTCCTCAATTATTGATGCGAGCCCGGGAGCTGCCAGGGAGGCGGGGAAAACTCGGGATTAACCCCTGGGCGCGGCAAACACTGGGAAAAACAGGGTGGAGCATGGAAAGAGCCGGGGGACTTTGTGCTGGTGGCCCTGGGGATGGTCACAAACTCGGGGGGTGGCCCTGGGGATGGTCACAAACTCGGGGGGCGG